AACATAATTAAAGAATAAAGAATAACAAATGACTGATCAATGTGCAGTAGGATTCTTGAATCTTGAATTTTAGTTCAACAGTTCTGTAATGATGGCCGAGGGAACGAGAGGCTTGTTCAAACCCTCTGGTTACCGTGTCGCTGGTTTGTATTTACTTTGTGTGTCTGTGTGCGTACACTGCAGGGAGCTGACGCCCATCGAACAAGCTTCGCGTTTGAACCAGAAGTTAAAAGCAAATTATGAAGCTCGTCTGGCGAGACTCGCTCCGGGTCAGGCCTATCAGAAGACGTCTTTGGTAAGTGTGTCTGTGATTATCTGTCGGTTAATGTCTGATAGATAAAGACTTTAATTCTGCGAATGGACTGAAGTGGTCGAGGTCTCACGAGCGTGTGGGAGACTTCAACTGAAAGAGCTGCTCTCACACTGAAACCAACACAGATCAACACACTCGGGACTTTTTCTTTTGAAGCCACATCGGGCATGTTTGGGTTTTTTTTGAGTATTTATTTGATTAGTTTCTGCAGCTTCTGCTCTGATAACAGCCGCGCACTGTACATACAGACGACAACAGACAACAACAGACTGACCACGTGCTTTTATTTTCGAGTCGTCGGTGCGGTGACGTCACTGTGACGCACCTGAACAGCTGATTGGCTCGCTCACCTGAGTGGTCGCAGACCTCGTGGGTCGGTGTCAGATAAGAAACACGCGGAGCGTCGGTTGTCTCCGTGTGTCCGTGTCCCAGTGTCTCAGTCTTCTCTCGGGACAGCGATGGTCAACACGTCTCCAGACGTCCAGCCTCTTTGTTGAATAACGCGACTCACGGAAACTCGAAAATGTTTCGACGGCAGGTGGCGCTGCGAGTTTACTGGAGGAGGCTGAAGGCGTTTGTCAAGGTAACGAGACCTGGAGCTAGCAGGCTAGGCACCACAGCTAGCATGGGTTAGCATGTTTGCACAGTAAATACACAGGGACAAACCGAATGTAGCTTGTGTTAGCTTGTTTCTACAGTAAATACTTAAATAAAGACAAATCAAATTAAGCAGTGTTAGCTTGTGTTAGCATGTTTTTACAGTAAACACTTAATTAAAGACAAATCAAGGTGTTTCTGCTCAGTCAACAATCACGAATTCATTTAAACTGAATGTAGCTGCAATATCTAATGTTTGTAATGTTAACTATCGTGCTGTGTGTGTGTGTGTGTGTGTGTATTATATATATAAATGACTGATATTTATCTGCAAATAAAATCCTCCCACAGATCTGAGTGTACCAGTGTTTATTTCCCGGTGTCTCAAGTTTTATTTACCAGAATAAAGAAAGCAGAGAAGATCTGTCGTTCCACACATGAAGTAGTTGAACTGTTGTGGAGGAGGTTGTTCTGCGTCTGTTTGTCTGCAGAAGATGTTTTTTAAAAAATATTTTCACTGATTTCTCAGGAAATTGTGAAAAAAAGTGAGATATTTAGAGGATCTATGTGATTTGATTGAATTTGATGGGACTGTTGGGCCTTAGTGGAGGAATGAGCTCTACATTCTTGTTTTCTATATTTACAAGTTCTATTTGTTTTCTTATTTATGACAATGAAATCATTTCAGCCTGTCATCGTATTGTCAGCATCAGCCCCCAACCACCCGTATCAGTCTTTTATAAACTATTCACATCCTAACATTGTTTGTCCCTGGTATTATTTCATTGCTTGTGATTTGACTGATGTCCCCTCTCTTGAAATGCAGAAGCTGTCTCTCCAGCGGCAGATGATGGAAAACCTCATCATAGCCAAGGCCCGACAGGATGCTGTATCCTTCTGTGTGTCCGCCTGGTGAAGGCTCGCTCTCCTGGTATCATTTAGGCGCTCCCGGTTCAGACACACTGTATAACGTGAACTGATTTGATCCTAGTTGACGTTTCCCATAGTTTTCTAATGGGAAACAAATGATGAATAAAAGAATAATGTTCAGCTCATGATTGAAAACATGGAACGTTGCAGGTATTTGTCTGAGGTATGTTCATATGACCAGAATGTAATATTCATACTTCTGTATTGATGACATACGTGTGAGTGTAGCTCCGAGGCATCATCCGTGTTGGGAGGTTTCCTTAAGGTTTTTCGTAACAGCTGCAGAGGAAGATGGAGGAGAGGAGACTACGGCTACAGGAAGAAGCTAACAGGTACAAACAAACTGGAGAAATCTAAACCTGAATTCTTTGTTTCTGTCTTTCCCTAATTTGTTTTAATCACTTGAGACCTGGTTGTATCTGAGTGACTGTTCACAAGAACCAACCTTTGTTAGAAAACAGTGCAGTTCTTTCTGTGACAACAACTCACGAGTCGTGACTTGATCAGATGAGGATCGAGTAAATGTTGCACACAGTGTCTTCTGTCTTTTAAAGACCATATTATCAGGTGCTTTTTCCTCTGGCTGTAGTTTTAGTTTTGTCACTTCCAGCAACTCCTAAACTTTAAAATGAAACTGACGTGTTCAACAACGAGAGCTCCAAAGTGCATCTGAGAGTCTCTGTAGACTCAGTTTATCTGTGTGTGATATTATCTGAGGGTAAAGAACTCAGTGAATTGTTGGAAAGGGTTTCGTCAATTTTGAAAAATCATTCAGCGCTGCACAGCTTTGAGAACAGTTTCAGTCACTTTGACAAAAAGACCTCTCATGTTAGCGTTTAACTTAAAACTCAATTTAGTTTTGTTCAGTAGTCATGGCAGCAAACCTCCTATACGCACAACTTATTTATCAATATGTCAAGAAGAGGGTCTGTGGACATATTCATTCAGTTCATATTCCAAAAGAAGTACTTATATTCTAAATCCATAAAAATGTTTAATTCAGTGGTTTCACAATTTCCAAATAATATAATCAGTGACTCTCCTGTGTTTCTTCGATTTATGTTAATATCTCGTTGTTTTGCAGGAGATTTGCAGCGTCTGGGGCAATGACAGCGGAGGAGCAAGAGCAGCGTTCTCTCTACACCAATGTTCTGGAATATGAGCAGGACCATGTAAGTTACACAGTAAAGCTTCAAAAGTGTGAAATGTTTGATTCTATAAGATGTTAAAACGACTCGACATAAATCTGTTTTGATCAAACAGTATGTGAGATTGTAAATGTGGTAATTAAGACATGTGTACGTTTGTTTTTAGGATTGGCCCAAACTGTGGAAAGCCAACATGAAGGGGAATCCTGATGATGTCACATTAGTGTCACGTTTAGTCTCTTACCTGCTCAGGTGAGTCGCTGCAACGTTTCAACCCTCAGTAGTCCTGGACTACTTTGACCCTTTTAAAATAAAAGGCTTTTATGTCACATAAGATTTTACCATGACACTCGTAGGAAACACAAACTATCACTATGTCTGTCCACACACACACACACACACACACACACACACACACTCTGTCAATACGTGATGACTCAGAGGCGTTTCCTTCCTGTTATCTGCGGAGACGACTCCAGTTAATTTGTACCTGACACACTGAGGAGACGATAACATGGGTAAAGTGGATTCTCACTGAAGTTCACTCTTTTCTGATGTTTGTCTAACACACGTGTACATGAAGATGTCAACCCCTGCTGCCTGGCTGCAGTTCACAAACCTTACCTCCTCCATGTTAGCATATGGGACCAAACTTAAAAGTCAAAGTACATGAAAAATATATATTTTTTTACAAAAATTATTTTTATCACACTGTTGTTTAATCGTTAATGGTCTGACAAGTGAATTATTTTATTTAAATTGGGTGAATTGTCGTGATTGACAGCTGAGACTAACTCTATTGGTCGAGAGCGTGTATGAGTGGAACCTTAATATCACGGTTTGGCTTTACGATCACTACTGCGCAGACCAAATAACACCAGCAGAAGATGTGTGGTCTAACAGTGTTAAAGCTGTCAGTGCTGGGAAAAGAAGTGTGACCCCAACATGTAGAGAGCATTTGAAAGAATGTTTCTTCTTCACTGAGCATCTGATGGTGAAACAGCTGCTGGATCATGACCCTGATCAACGTTTGACTTGTATCGTCACTTGTTTGTCCTCAGCCGCTCCGACCATCCTGTGGTGAAGCTGCTGAGGAAGCATCAGTACCGTGTTTACAACAGGCTCTACCCCATAGTCAGCAAAGGCTGCGTCCAGAGTCCTGCGCTGCTGCTCAGACCTTCTCACAGCCCTCAGCATCCAGGTAGAGCCACATCCTGCTGCTCGTTATCCTGATGTCATTACCTCTAATGTATTAATGAGATTTTCTTATGGGTCATACAGAAACCCAGAGGAGGACAGTCAGCACTGCGAGCGGTAGCGTGGGCAACCAGAGCTTCAGCACCGGCTTGTCGTCCTCGCTGTCTCGTGACTTCCACGCTGACTCTGACGAGGAAGGGGAGGAGCCTCACCCACAGGCGACGGTGGACCGGGAGAACTCGTTTGAAGATCTCGAGCAGTTCCTGACTCAGCTGGACTGGGCTCCGCCCAACGACAGCGCGGTCGACGCCGGCTCCGATTCAGAGCTGACGTGTGACACCTCGACTCTGAGCGAGGGCCACGTTCAGGAGCAGGAGATGAGAGCGATGAAGGAGCATCTGAAGGCCACTGTTAAAGACATTCATATCGCTATAGGTGAGCGGACAGGAGGACAGTGTCTCACCATGTTGGTTATTAACATCTGTTAAATGTCCCACAGGTGAATTTTACATTGCATTTCTTTAAAGTGGTGTTTTTATATATTTCAGATCAGCTCTTGTCGCTGTGTCTGCTGTCGTTTGAGTGTCTGAACACCGCCAGCTCTAAAGACCTGTGCCTCGCCAGTATAGAGGAAGCCTTCTTCACTCCCCTGTGGAGCGCCCTGGTGACTCTATTCAGGTAGTGCAGCTTCAATCCTTCAATCTCTAAACATGTCTACGTACTATTGCTTTTACAGATGAATCTAAAATAAACAGTTTTAAAATGCAGAGAACATTATTTAATGGGTTCAGACATGCAAGGCCTCCACACTCCTGTTTCCAGTCAGTAGAGTCAATGTCTCTGATTGTCCAGCGTGTGGCAGTGTCACTCTGAGTTCACGTCCCTCTGCGCCTGTTCTCAGTCTTCATGTGATCAATGACTTCTTCTGCACGTTCGTGTTCTCACATCATGAGAAATATTTGTGGACATGTGTCATGTTATTTTCTTGTATTTTATACGTGAATGCTGACGTCAGGAACTATGAGATGATTTGTTTTCTAGTTTTAAGCCTTTTTGGAACAAATGACTCAAGTTCAGCCACGAAACAAAGAACTATATTTATTTCCTCCAACATGTTTTCTTCTTTTGTTTGTTGGCAGAATGATGTAAAACTTCAAACTTCAGATTCCCACAACGTCTTTGTTAATTTCTCAAAGAATAATTCATGGATCTACTTGGATTTATTTCCAAGTAGACATTTCTTTAGACGGATTGTACTTTATGAACGTATGAATGGGTGAATGACAAACTACTGCCAAGTGCTTTGAGTGGTCTTCGAGATTACAGTTTTTTGCTGTATTTGATATTTGATCATGTCCTGTCATCCAGCTCACTGCTGAATCTTTGTCTGAGGAGACGAGCACGTCTCTTTGACACGTGGCTCCATTCTGGAGACGATAAAATGTCTCTTGTTGTGTTTGTTTCTTCCTCAGAAAGGTCAACATGGAGAGAGAGCAGGCCTTTGAGACGAGTATGAAACTGTACCAGGATGCATCACCTGGAGACATCGGCGTTCCCATAAAATTATTCCCCCAAGAACCTGATACACTGCAAGGTTCCTACCCATACGAGTCTGCTGTCCAGGAGCTCAAGCTTCTGATTAACGACTGCTGCCCACAGAAGAAGCTGGAATGTATCGGTGAGTTCGACTCCGGTGTTTTTGTGCTTCATGACACAAATGCTAACTTTCATTGACGTGAAGCATTAATCTTTAACAAATCCTTTTATTTTATTATTCATCTGAAATCTTGAAGTTCAACTAACTTGGGAATTCATCAGATCTTTCCTGATGAAGCCTGAATCTTTAATTTAATCACAGAAAGTCCAACAATCCAGATTTTGCCTCGATGTCATGAGATGGTTCATATGTAGTGTGTGTGTGTGTGTGAGAGAAAGATCAGGGGCTCAGCTTATAAATATTCCTCTTTGTGTTGTTGCAGTTCGAACACTTCGTGTGATCTGTGCCTGTGCTGAGGATTACAGGTGTTTTCATGAGGGGGACTCTTCACCCAGAACTGCAGCCATGTAAGTGTGAGGAAGAAGAGAGCGCTCGTTAATGTTGACCGCTCTACTGCCGACAGACTGCTGTGCCACGGTGGCTTGGTTGTTACCAATACATGGAGTAGAGGGGCAGTAGAGGGGTAATAGAGGGATGGTAGAGGGGTAGTAGAGG